TAGTCCCTTCACTGATCTTCCTGCAGGTGGTCCACAGGAAGATGGCTGCTCCGTCAACAAAGATACAGCCTTGGTATTTCAGCGGGGGCTTCAGGCAAAGTGGGGTAAAGTGTCTTGCCCTGGGACAAAACGACAGCAGACATCAATGGGAGCAGATGACATGGGTCGTGGGGAGATCGAACTCACAACCATTAGGTTCAAAGACCAATGCTCTACTAACTGAGCTATTGTGGTAAAAACATCATCAAACCACCAAAATGCTTCTCAATGCAAAAGAATCCATACACCAATAATTGTATATGAACCAATACTAGTGAAAGAACTGATAATAGCCATTCCCTAAAGAATCACAGCAAACCATCCATCCATCTTCCAGGTCAAGCGTCCAGGAAGATAACAGATGCCACTTCAACTATGCAGAGAAGCAGCGGCTCTACTCTAAGCTCCTCCTGTGTGACTGAGTTCCTCCCTCCCGCCCTGTTTATACTGAGACGCTGCGCAGACGTTTCCAGGCTATTAACAGAAACGACCAGGCTCCTAATGCAAATTTCACAGCGTTCACATGAGGTTGAAAAACGATGTAGTTCTAGCGCCCGGCCAGTAGTGGGCAGAGAAACTTTACAACACTCACACGACCCCCAGCCCCGTGCCCAGCCCCCCTCTCGGCAGTGTACTCACTTCCTGTGCCAGACCCTCAGAACGTACCAACATCATTCTGCATTTTAACAGCAGCTGTGAAAATGGAAACTGAACCTAGAGCTTCGCGTGGTCTCGTTTGGACGAACGAAGGAGTAGAATTATCCTCTGGGCCGCGCTGGAAGCCCACGAAGCTAGTTAGTGTGACCACCGCCATTGTTGTTGATGTTTGTTCTCCGTTACTGCGCATGTCCAAATTTACGTGCGGGGAGCAGCGCGGAGGCGGGGGTCAGAGCAGAGGGGGATTTCACACCTTTTCCCTCTCGCAGGTGTGAAAGAGCTCCCCGCTGTGCAGCGTTTCTGAGTTGTCCCACTCTGCAGGCTGGATCTGAACACTTACGTTTTCACCCCCCTGAAACACAGTCTTCGTATGAACGGTTGGTAGAAACCGACATCCAACTATACCGTTTTACTGCCACATTGTCTCCGTGTAAACTCAGCCTAAGGCAGTGCCCAGATCTGTTCAGTAATTATAAGCTCACACTCCAGCCTTCCATTCCTTGTAAACAAAACCCCAAGATACAAGAGTTCCTCCATTATTGTTTTGTACAACTCTTTCCGTGTTTTTTGTTTGTATTAATTGAAATAAAATAGTCAGATGTTTGTAAAAGAAATGATACATGTGAGTAACTGTGACCTGTGTGACTATTCCCTACAACAAGAGCAAAGATTTTCAGTGCAGAGACCAGATGTGGAGCTGAGGTTGCGCAGAGCTAGGTGCGGACGAAGGGTCAGGGAAATTTAGCAGGTCAGACCTCCAGAGAGAAAGTGCAAATTTACAGCAATCTGCGTCTAATGAGCACCTCTGCTTCGAGTCGGAGAAAAGGCAAGGACTGGGGAAATCTGGAATCTTTGTATGGTTTCAGTAATTACTATAATGAACTGTAGAAGAAACCGAAAAAACACAATAGTTAACACTTCCCTCCAGTTTAATTATATATTTTCAAGTTAATATCTGACATATGTGGGTGGACTGCCAGTTTCTATTAGCAGATAGAGTGAGGGATTATGTTTCTCTCTATTTGCAACTGTGTAATAGGCCCTATCACTGTTTTTGCCAAAATAGAAACCGGGAAATTGTTGTAAGTTATTTTCTGAATTTGTGATACGTGGATGATTTGGCAGCATTGCACCGGCATTTTGCTTGAGAGGAAAATAAAATCCTCTGTTGACTTATTTCAGCTGTGTAAAGGGCAGATCAACTACTAAGATTTCAAATGTACTGAAAACTGTTTATATAAATACGCAGACCCGTGACTTTTGACCCGTAATATAATTAGGAAACAGAGATGTGCTGTTTGAAAGGGAAAGAGCAGTGCGTGAAAAGACCCAAACTTCTCTCTCAAAAGCTTCTCTCTTGTTATGTGGCTTGTTTCGCTGTCATTATCTGAAGTATTGTCCCTCTAGTTTTATAACCTTCTTGAACTGAGCCAAAACAGGCTAAAAGAACAGTGTTTATTGCTGTCAAATTACTGCTATGGTTGGAAACGCCTCGACAAAAAAAGTGGTGGACCAGTGATTTTTCTCAATATGTCATAGTGTGGATTATGTGTTATGTTGTACTTTGGTTCTATTCTGTTATCAGTTCTAAGTTGGTTTGGTTTTAGTTTTACTTCCTGTCTTGTTCCCCCTGTCTTGATGGTCTGCCCCGCCCTGATGTGTTTCAAGATTTAAAGAAAACCAAGGGATTTAAGAAGAGAAAAAAGTTCAGGATGACAAGGGACACTAAAATCCCCACAAAGTCCGACCTTTCTGAAAGTTTTTGTTTACATTGAGTTCTATGGGGAAATTTCTGGGTAGCCCACGTGAATTTAGTCTGGTTCAGTCTGCAGTACCGCGAGAATCCCCCGAGCACATGGGTTCTTCAGCTACAAGCTAGTAATACCCTATCCAGTTATTATAATAGATCCATGCCTCCATCCCACCTCTCATGACACAGAAGGAATTAAGCTGGAGATTCTCCCTATATATTGTTATTTTTTTTCATTGATTCACTTTATCTATCAGGCACTGGCAGTAGCATATTATGTCTTATTTAAAACATACCAACTTACTGATGAAAGAAAAGGGAATTCACGGCGCCTTTCTTGGAGGGTTACATTCCCCTGTATTCAAATAGATGTCTATACACACACATACCAAAAGCCAAACAATGTTGTAAAGTCTAAGTAGGAGGTATGGGAGGTAGGATTACATCAACTTACCCCGATAAAATCTCCATGTCTGAAGTAACTTAAGTATGTGATTTTAAAAGCCCTCTTTATTTTCTCTATCAGCTCGGATCTGCTGCTGAGCGGAGCGTCCGGTCGGTGCGACAGGAAGGCCTCACACGGCGGAGGACTTTTATCATGAAAAACTGAATTGAACCAAAGGAAATCCTGTTGATATAACAGTGTGCGGGTAAATAGAGAGGAATTGTGGGCTCTTTGGAAGAACAACACGTCTAATGGATCATTCACCAGACAATTGATGATGCAATCTGCAATCGCTCTTAATCGTGTGACGACATCATGACGAGCGACGCCTATTGTCCAAAAGATAACATAAACTACTGATACAAATCAACACAAACACGTCCGCTCGCTTCTTTTGTCTCAAAGTCAGACGCTAATATGAATCCTCGGACTATGACGTCAGAGATAAAACCATTTATAGATATCAATATGAAAGTATTGCCTTCAAAATATAGCTTTTGAGGGGAATTTGGAAATGATCGGCTTTCCAACTGCTGCCTTCACTTTCCCACTTTCACTAGAATCCTTTCTTACAGATACTGTACCTCCCAGTCAGGACAAAGAGGAACCCATTGAGCTCCTTCCCCAAAATAAATCCACCTTTTAAACAGCTTATATGGCCTGCTCTGGCTGAGTCTGATCTGATTCTTATAATTATATTAGCCTCTTTGTACCTTTGTGTTGTGTGATCGGTGTCTTAGATGTTGTGTTTGTGTGCTTTCGTTGTGGTTGTCCCTATCGGCTCTGGCGCTCGATCTTCAAATTATGTTTCTCACGGAGAAATGAAGTTATTTGAATTGCATTGATCTATTACTGTATGATTATCCACACATTTACACTAAACATTGTTTTTATATTCTAACATGCGAACTTTACAATAATTCATTGGTTAAGAAAATACACAAACTAAATAAGATTAAAAATACAAAATAATGCTGGATAATTTTACATTTTTACATATTTTTGTGTGTGTTTTTCTCCCTCATGTCCAGCTTAAAATCACACTTTAAAGTTTGAGCGAAATTTAAACTCAGGGGGAAAAACTCCAAACCTCCTTCACATGAGCACAATGTTATCTCTTATCTACAATCCAATTTTCCCACCACGAAAACACTACGGAGGCTAAAATAATGTTTTAGCTTGGCTTTGAGCTTGGCTTTTCTACCCTCACAATGAGAGCTCTGTGTTGCTGTGATAACTATGTGATGTCTTCTCTTTATAGTATAGCTGAAGGTGTTCCGTGCTGTTGCCAGCTCTTAAAAACTCCAACAGTGGTCTATCACACAGCAGTGCATCCCACCACACAGAGAGGAACCAGGGCCAAAAGCTCATAACTGCACTTTATACCTACTGCACTGTCTCCTCAGTAGCCAAATCGCTCCCAGACCTTCTGATGGGATGATTAGCTGACAAAACTCTCATGCAAAAATCTCATATAGTGGTTGTAAAACAGCCCTGCACGGGGTCTATATATAGATAGGGTATGTGTATTCCAAAGCTCAACAAGCAAAGACAGAAATAAAACAGAATACAAGAGTTTATGCAAATGATAAGTGTCAAAAATGTGTACGACATTTTTATTCCTGGCAGTAAATTTGGAACATTTCGATCTTTGATACTTTATGGAATAACATAGATTTGCTTTTCAAACTAATTGGTTAAGGGAAAACTGTAAGCCTTTTGAATAGGTGTTTTAAGGTGTTTCGGAAAAATAAGTTTATTTTCTAAGGTAAATGAGGATTTTCACAAATTTTAGGAAAGAACTGCCCTCTCCACTTTCTGAACAAAACTCTCTGGTCTTATTTGACGAGCATGCATCAATTGAGAGGACCAATAGTCTTGATGATCCACCCGGTAGCAGAAAATCCCCCTTTATACCTTTAACTATTCACTTGCTTTTAATAAGGGAAAAATAACTGGCTGAGTTCACGCTGCTTTATTTTAACAACATTCCATTATAACTTTTTGCTATTGCTTACAAAGAACAACAGGCGTATCTGTCTAAAGACTTCAACAAAAAAAAGATCCTTCAGATGACAACAATTACAGCTGATTAAATCCAGTAATTACCTTTGTAGGAAAGCCTCAGCCGCGGCACGTTGGACTTGGAGGATGATACGATGCAGGCGCTCAACAGCACCAACAGAAATAGACGCGTAAATCCCCTCATCTTTCGGGAACAATGTCCACTTAGAGACTTTTATATACTTGAATATTCCAGCGCGTCAGGTCCGTAGACTGTGAGGGGTCAGGAGAGAAAGTTGAGCTGGGGTCCGGACTCTGCGCTCTGCCTTCTCCGAGTGTGTGGCTGGACTGAGGCAGAGCGCGCACCACGCCTCTGTACGGGGGAGAGAGAGGCGCGCATCAGCGGAGCGACAGTGTGGAGTGTCCTCTTGGAGAGATTGAAGCGAAGGAGGTTAGGGGGCTCTCGGTTGTGTCTGACAAGGTTATATGTGTTAAAAAAAGAATAAAAAATGTGTAAAAGTCCCAAGGCGTACTGTGTATTAGAGAAAAGTAACATGTTCCTTTTACTTTCACTTTTAATGTTTTTTTTATGGCACTGAAAAAAAGGTCTTAACTGTGAGTGGGCAAACCTGACTCATACTGTCTTGTTTGTTTAGGCAAGGCAAGGCTGTTTGTACAGTACAGTTCATGCACAAGGCGTCTCTAATTGCTTAAGTTATATCACAATAGGACGTTTAAATAATAGCAATAATAATACACTTACTTACAAATGGTGAAGATATAATTCTTCAGTTGTATGCACAGCAAAACAGACTGTTTATAACCTGGATATTTACATTGTCAGAGTATAGAAGCCTGTTTCACATTTTCATGAAGACTGTTCAATATTTTTGCTGCATGATATTAATAATACATCATACTTATGTAGCGCCGTTTAGGACACTCAAAGATGCTTTACAAAACACATAGAAATAATCATTGAATGACAAAACTAAGGAAAGGCTCGGTGAAACAGGTGGCTTTTGAGAAGTGATTTAAAATTCTGTAGTGAGTAGGAGTTGCTGATGTGTTGTGGGAGTGAGTTCCAAAAAGTGGAAGCATGAATCTGGAATGCTGCCTCTCCATGTTTCTCTCTTTCATTTTACAACGAAATACTGTATTTTGCCTTTGGCTCATCTTCCGCAATCTCAGTATTTATGTTAAAGGGGGCTTAGCTGCCCTATTAATTGGTCTAATCTATGTTATTACAATTACAACACAGTAGTTTTTTTTTACCTGCAGGTGACACAAGTAGCTCTCAAGCATTACAGATGCAATCCACCCACTGGGGCTTAGCTAAAAAACTGTACAAACTCTGTGTGATGTATGACACTTATTATTGTATCTGCTTTTATTGTATCGTATCTCAGCTTTAAACTTTTGGTCAGAAAAGTTGTACATGTTGACCTATTACCTGGGGACACTTTGTGACTGAAAATGAAATATTGCAAACAGTACTTTGAGAGAAGTTGCATGTTCTAAAGAAAATGAAGAGATGTGAAGGTCTGGATTTTGTCTCAGCAAAGATTGTTGGTACACAGCCCACCGAGTGACACATTTCCATTCACAGGGTAAAACATCCATCCATCCATCCATCCATTTTCTACCCTTTAATCCATTTCTGGGTCAGGGGGGTGGCAGTCAGAGATGCCACCCAAGTCTCATAGCACCAGCCCCTCACTGACCCTCTGCAGGTGGTGAGTCCACAGGAGGACGGCTGCTCTCTGAGTGTGAGCATAGCCTTGATCTTTCAGTGGGGGCTTTGGGCAAAGGGTAAAACATGCTAGGCAAAAATGCAGCAGCCGCCATTAGCATCAGCCACGTCGCCAATAGATACAGTACGTTCTTTTCCATTTTCAGAAAACCAAACCATCAAGAGGAAACTCACTCATTTCTGCATATTATTATTCTGCTCGTGACAAGCTCAGAGTAAAAATAGATGCACATAAAGTTTTTATAAAAGATCCATGAGAATCCGTTTCCAATAACAATTTGTGGGCACCAGTGACATGCTACGCACACGTTTGTTTACCCGACCTCCTCTTCATCGCCGCTTCTCTCTGCTCCTCCAGAACGTGAGCTGCAGCCTAATGAAATCGTGCATGTATTTTGAGCCGCTCTTGTCTTTCTGCATCTATCATTCACGGGAGATGGGGCAGCGTGGGCCACAGAGAGGGCTATTGAGAGTGGAGTTTTCTGGAGTATTTGAGAGGCACTTGTTTGCTCCTGGCCTCTGAGTGAAGCTGGGACCGGGGGATGGGACTCGGAGTTCTGCTGGAGGCTGGAGCTGACACGTCCTCTTGATGCTTTGTTGCCGATGCGAGGAAGAGGGCCCTGTGTGTGTCAACTTTTGTCCCACGGATCAGAGACGAGACAAAGAGGGTGGGGTTTGATGTGTTCATTCAGAAGGATATGGCCTCACACAACACGTTACTTATAAACTGATTATTCGGCCCACAGTGGAGAGAATCATACAGAAGAGAATGAGGAGCACACAACAGAAGTGAATTTTAAGTATAGCACAATAAACATACAAACATCTTTATCCTTATGCTAAAGTTGGAAATTTTATTTTTTCTTAGTATAGAGTTGATGTTCACTTTGTTTTTTGTTGTGTGTTCCTCATTCCTACTGGTCTGTAACTGGTGATGCAACACTGAAATTTCCCCACCGTGGGAGGGAATAAAGGATCTCTTCATCTTAATCTTCGTTCTACAACCGCTGCGTGGCCTTGGTCCTTGTTCTGTAGCTTTGGTCCTGGATCTATGGCCCGTCCGTCCGTGTGGAGCGGATCCCTCTATCAATGTGGATTTCCCTGAGGTTTCTTACTTTTTTCCCACTGGGTTTTTTAAAGCTTTTCCTCCGATGCAGGAGGGTCTGTTGGACAGTTAGTGTCTAACAAGAAGGATGTGGTGATGATCCAGGATACAGTCTACAACATGTGTGGACATTGATCAACATTCATTCTCTACGGACCAATACATATGTTTTCTATATTTTTGGTGAACATTAGCTCAGTTGAGGTGAACATTAGCTCAGTTGGTAGAGCATTGGTCTTTGAGCCTGAAGGTTGTGGGTTCGAGCCCACCACAAGACCTTCTCCACTGACTCCCACTGAGGTCTGCTGTTGTTGTGTCCTTGGGCAAGACACTTAACCCCGCTTTGTCTGAAGCCCTGACTGAAAGATCAAGGCTGTGTTGTCGCTGACAGAGCAGCTGTCCTCCTGTGGACTCACCACCTGCAGGAGGATCAGTGAGGGGCTGGTGCTACGTGACTCTACCCAGAAATGGATTAAAGGGTAGAAAATGGATGGATGGATGAACTGTGTGATTCGCCTAATCGATGGTTTTGTCAAGCCGATGCATCTGAGATGACTCCTGTTGTGATTTAGGCCAACACAAGAATAAATTTAGTTGAATTAAATTGAATCTTACTCAAAAGTACAAACATGTGTCACTGGAATGTCCCAGGTTGCAGGTCAGATATTCTAACAGAGTAAAAATGCCTGTTTTTCAAATCAAAGCACCTGCATTAGAATAAAAGTAATTTCTGACAAGGATAAAGCATATCCATTGAGACAAGCAGAGAGCGTATACTCTGTGCTATAGCAAAGTTATGTGGTGCAACTTTAACCACAGGCAAACCCATGGAAAAACATTGTTTCAGAGCTCTGATTGTTGGACAAAGGAGCCTTTATAGAATAATAAGTATGTATTGAGAAACATTTGTTTTTCATTCAAGTATCCGCAGGAATTTGTGGGTTATTTTCCAGAAGGCGTATGGCGGTACATACGTGCGTTCTGTTTTTCATGCATATTTATTCATGAGGCTGCTTTTTCTCTTACTTTCTTTTCCCTCTCTTTCTCAACAGTATTTTTGATCTAGGTAAAGTCCTGATCAAACCGACAGCGAGTGATGGAGACAGAGAGAGGAGTTTGGTCACGAGTGTTGGTCTTCTTCTTCTGTGTGGGGTGATTGAAGCCGCCCTGATTGTGTTTTGTGAAGTGCTCTCAGCTCTGCTCTCTTCTGATTGGACCAAACCCTCTCCCCTCAAAAGGTGTTTTTGTGAAGCCTGGACAAAAATAGGGACAGAATAACAAACTTCCTAAACAGAAAAGGGCTTAAACAAAGTACAACAGATTAAGATGAAGAGATCCTTTTTTTGTGCCACAGTGGGGAAGTTTTAGAGGAGCGCACAACACAAGATAAATAAACAAAAACTCTGAACTAAAATTAAATAAAATAAAGTTTCTCACTTCAGCATGATGAAGATAAAATCTCAATATTTAGCATTTATAAATAGGAAGCAAATTGAAAAATGTACTCTAGCACAAGGAAGAGGCAAGAAAAAGGTATACAATTAATGACTTTAGCATAATGAAGAAACAAGTATAATATATAAATAATAAGGAAACAAATAAGGTATAAAATCTCTGACTTCAGCATAAAGAAGCAAGCAAAAAATATCTATCTTTAGCATAAATAAATAGGAAGCAAATAAAAAATGTCCTACTTTAGTGAAGAAGCAAGAAAAATATATAAAGTCTCTGACTTTAGTCTAATAAGAAGTAAGTATAAAACACTGTTCATTGCTATTCACCCGTTGTCCCACTGTCTGTTCCATGGTACGATGACGGGACCTCTGGACCTGGCCTCCTCCATCTACACCTGCGGACTGCCCCGCCTGACCTGTCCACGTTCTGCGGCCGCTGGTCCACGTTCTGTAGCTCAGGTCCTGGATCATTAGCCTGTCCGTCCGTGGGAGCGGATCCCTATCTCAATTGTGGGTCTCCCCGAGGTTTCTCACTTTTTTCCCACTGGGTTTAAAAAAAAAAGTTTTTCCTTGCCGATGCAGGAGGATCTGTTGGTGATGATCCAGGACACTTTAACATTCTACAACATGTATGGACATTTTCTATGTGTTCTATATACTTTCTGTGTTTTAACTGTTGATTCTCTGATCTGTGTTGGTGTTTTCAATGGTTTTTTCAAGTCCTCTGAGATGACTTCTGTTGTGATTCAGGGCTATACAAGAATAAATTGTATTGTATTGTATATTCTAGTGTTAGAAATATATAGTTGTGTGTGTATACATCTGTAAACAGCACAAATGGACAAAGTGACAGTGAAGTTCTATATGGCACATTCTGACTTAAATCAGTATTA